AAAAATAATCAAGAAAATGTTTTTAAAAAACCACGGCAAATGATAATATTYATGMAACGTTATCAAATAAATTATTTTAATATTATTTGCTGTAGGTTATGAATAATGATAAATTGTAGATAGATAGGTAGTTCGAATTTGTCTAAAATATTGCTACAGATTATATTTCGCATACTTTTTTTAARCATGCTACTAAATAGTTTTGCTCTTTTAAAGCTATAGGTGCCTAATTAAGCTTTTGACATTTTGATATTTTTTTTTTTCTGTTTGTAACAATTTTTGTTGGTGGTAAAAAAGTCTGAAGTTTATTGCAAGTTTCCTCATACACGTTTTCTTAAAAAAAATTAAATTAACACAAGCTAATTTTTAATGTTAAAATATTAGCTATATTTTAGATAATTATGTATTTAAATGAAAATAAAAAAAAAATTAGAATTTCAAAAAATATAAATCGAAAAAATTTGAAATATTCCACTGTTAACTTTAATCAYAATTTAATATAAACAAAATTATTTTTAAAATATATAGATTAACTTTTTAGCCATTTAGTATTTAATATTTAAGCAATTATACAACAAATAACAAAATTTTACTTACATCAGAAATCAGTTTTGGAAATCTTTTGAGCGTATCTAAAATACTTTGATCAATGGATTCAAAAATCCTCAGCATTTCAGCACCGACTAGGTCAACACAAATCATTGCCGGTTCAATAAGATTTTGCAATTGTTTGCACACCATAATTTCTAATGCTTTTTCGTTTACAAATGAACTTTTGTTGGTTCCAGCTGAATTTAGCAAAATATTACCTATCTTTTCATCAGTCAAGTCAAGAAGTGGATCAATTTTATCTAATTTTTCTACATATTCATTATGTATAATTTGTGAAATTTTTGCACCTCCAACAAGTATGCTTTCGGATAAATCTTTTCTATTTCCAGCAACTGTATCGCAGTATGATTTACACATGTCATTCAATAAACTTAAAACAAATGAAACCTTCTGGTCAGGAGTTTTCAAAGTTTTTAGTTGGTTTTCTAATCGATCTTTGGTATCATATAATTCCTTGCGCAACACTGGATAAGTTTTTTTGATATGCATTAATAATATATTCTGCAGTGTATTAGCTAGCATTTGATTTCCGTGTTTTTTGTAAATTTCGGGGTAGTTGGCTTTTAAAAATTCCCTCTCGGATTTCAAAGTGTCTTTCATGGATTTATTGTCAAAAATATCTTTTTGACTTCGATTTACGACTCCAATTATGCCAAGCTTAACAGGGATTTTGTAACCACAAAGTAGTTCTACAGTATCTTGTATTGTACCTTTATCGATAATATCTAGCTTGGTAACTACAGCGACTGTTCTTGTCCCCTCTGGATCGATTTTTCTGGCAATCTTAAGACTCTCGCTAGTAGAGGGATCTGTATTAGCAGTAACCACTGCTAAAATAATAGAATTTGGTTGTTCTACATATTTTAATATTAATTCTTGAATTCGTTCATCAATGTCTTCGGGCTGGTCACCAACAGGGAGTTTCGTGATTCCTGGTAAATCTACAAAAGTTAGGTCATATAAAAGAGTAAATACTTTTAAAACGATTGGCTCATGCGTTATGCCGTTATTGTGACCAGCTAGATAATTTGTTCTATTTTCAATTTCAGAACGCACATCATCAAAATTTTGAAACACAGTGTTAGGCTTGTGTAAAAACCATGCCCATTCTTTAATTTTATCATTTTTTGTTATTTCCAACATAGATTCCCTATCTTCTTTATTATATCTTACTATTTGAAGAATTAGTGGAGCTCGAGTTACAATACCAGTACCTCGGGGTAAAAAAGATTTACCCACCAAACTCTCAAGTACCGAGCTTTTGCCAGAACTTTGAGATCCSACAACAACGATCTGGGGCAAATTAATTTTATGATCACCAATAACCGCAAACACTTCTTGCAACTTGTTGATTGTATGAATTAAAGATTCCATAGATTTGTTTTATTAGCAATTTATGCTGAGTAGGTAATTATAAGAATTTGTGTGAGATAGAAATAAAATAAAAATAAAACGTGTTCTTATGTTAATAATATTTGCAAATGTGTTTGGATGTAATTATTATAAATTAATTGTWATTAAATAATAGCTATGGTTACCTATTTTCGAAGGGATTTTGAAACAAAGAAAGAGGTGTRTTTGGCCACTATATGATTTAGCCACTTTACACTTAGGTACCTACCTATATCTATATGTCCTATATATATATTATTATGTCATTGCAGTTATATAGGTACCTACCTCCATATATATATGTAATATGTATACCTATTTAGATACCTAACTATGCACATAAGTGATATACTTACAYAACACTTAACAGAAATAATTGACAATTGTGTAATTATAACAATATGACTAAAAAAACTAATATAATATGTAGTATTATGTACCAATCTATATAATAATAAAATTAGATATATTACTTACATAATTGTTTTTAAAATAGATTTTATTTATATAGGTACCTATGTAGGAAGGTGGTTATTATAATAATGTTAAAAATTAAAAAAAAAAGAATTGGAATAAAATAGTTACTTTTTATAGATAATTTATATAGTTAGTTACTAGTTAGTGATATTTATCTGACGTTTTCCTGTTAAACCCTAAACATTTAGATAGATATAATATTTATTATTTATTAAATAAGTAACTTACTCAAATAATGAATAACATCAAAAAGTATTTTTTTATTTATAAAACTTATTTTATTTATATTAATCCCTAGTAATTTGGTAGGGATTTTCAAAATAAACAGATAAAAGGGGGCAAAGTAGATTATTAGGTACCTAAGATTTAAATCATGAACACTGAACAGTATAACACAGTGGTTCTTAAGCTGTGCTCCGTGAGAGTAGTCTAGGAGCTCCGTGGCTCCCTGAGAATATAATATGTATTAATTAAATTTAAATTATTAATATTAATTAAATAATTTGTATATATTTGTATTTATAGAAAATAAAAATAAAAAGCCAATCATTTACAATTGACATAATTTTCTATGAATTTTTGTTGTCTCATATTATAGGCATTTCGGATTTTTAGTGCTCCGTAATTTTTTTTAGGAATATAAGGACTCCGCGAACAAAAAAGTTTAAGAACCGCTGGTATAACATATTATTCTATGACATACGCACACACACACACAAACATACACCCACGATAATATGATAACGTTATCATTGTATGAGACTACTTTGATTTTGCTTTAAATTTGCGTTCTTGTGTTTATGTGTTTCAGTCAGTGGCACAATATTATTACCTATGACTGTGAACTTTGCCTATTTTTGCACTAAAAATATTTTTTCTTGTCTGTATTGTGCTTCGTGTTGTTACTTTTAGATGGATCGTAATTGAATTAAATATTACGAGCGTGTTACCCCATTGTTTGTGATTCATTGTGAAATAAGTTAAAACGAATCAAAAATGGAAACAGATAAATATATTACGATTGTTCCTGTTGAGTATCCTCGAAACAGGCAACAATTCATACGGCCTCCCGATGAGTATAGGTAATATTATGATACCCAATATGTATTCAGTTATTACTAGAGTATATTCCTATACTAATTTAGATTTTTATTTGTGCTAGTGACTTTCCTCAAAACAGGAATTGGCCACATACGAGAGCAGTAAGGACAGAATCTAGTACTTTGCGGAGGAAAGAACTGAAACGATCATTAGAACACAAAAGATCTCATCATCATTCTCGTAATGACCCTATACAGTCGTGTTCCAAGCCAATAATAAGTGCTCCACTAGCATTTCAAACTGCTCCAAAACCTGTTAGGAAACGTAAGTATTATTAAAATAAGTTTCAAATTATATCTGATTATGTTTTAGTGATTTATGATTATTAAACTGTTGTTTGCATAATTTGTTTTGGATGCCTTAATTTGGTCTATTGTATAAATATTATATKATATAATAATTTTGTGTAATCTATTATTTAAACTTCAAATTATAATTTATATGATCAATTTTTTTTAAAAGTAAAATTATCCAAATAAATGTATTAATTAGTTTTTCAACACCTTAACATTTTAACATATTATGCAAATGTCTAAAGGTTAATTGTTTTTTAGCGCTTAATGTATATATTTACACAATGGCTGATATAGTCTTACATATGGATATAGAAGATGCAAACACAACTACAGTATCAGATCTTGTTGATATTATAATACAGCAAAACAATTTGGGGTTATCAAGAATTGCTAAAAATATTTTCACAATTTGGATGAAATCAAACGTTTTAGGTAATCATCAAATGTTCTCAATAACATGGGCGTAGCATGCACTAATTAACAAGGGGAACTTAAGCTCTTGACTATTTTTATTAAACTATGCTAAAATTTAATGTATTGAATAACATCAATAGTCATTACAGTTATGTACTTAGTTAAAATGTACGTATAGTCAATGAATAAATATGCAATGAATATTTATTGAATTATGCCTGAGAAGTGAGTACATACAATAAAAATAATTAAAAAAAACATTTTTAAAAGTTTCATTTTTTTTATTAAAATAAATGCTGCTATTAATTAGTATCATATCAAACAAAATAATATTACACAACAGTTTTTTCATTTCTATTTTTAAAACCAAATGTTTGGCGATAAAGAAATTAAACGGGGAATAATAATTATTGGATGATCAGCTGCTGGTTTGTTAGGTTAGATTCGGCTATAACATTCTTTTCACTGCACGGCGCCGAGCATCATCTGTTTTTTCGATAATCAGCGATGGCTGGTAGTTAATGTAACAAAATATATGATTGTAATATTTAAGTATATACTATTTTATGTTAATTTAAAAGCATAGACTATTAGACTTAGATAAAAGAGAACTAACCTAACCTAGGGGGGCTGAACCACTAATTGGGGCGACTATAGTTCCCTTAGTCCCCTCTCATCCTACACCCATGCTCAATAATTCATTTAATTTATAAGTACTTATAAGTTTTTTTTTTTTCAGAAATTCAGTTAAAACCTCATCACAAATTATTGACCATTTTTCAAAAATGGCCCACACTTGAGGATAAATACTGCAATCAAACTAAAAAAGTTATTTTCAAAGAACCCATTTTGAGTTTTCAAAGAAATGTTTTTTTCCCTAGAAAAGACGAAGAAAAAATTAAGTGAGTGTACTTTGCATATACTTATAAATAAACAAAAAAAAAATATATTAAAATTGCATTTGTTGAAGGGATCAAAAAATTATTGAGCTATTGTACGCTGAAGCTAAATATAATGTATTACAAGGTCGGTATCCTGTTGAAGTAAACCACTGTTTGATGTTAGCTAGTTTGCAGTGTCGAATAGAATTAGGTCCAAATAATTTACAACAGTATACATCAAGTTTTTTTAGGTACTTTAATTTTTATTAAGAATCTAAGTCTATATTTTTATGATAAAAATAAAAATATTGTTTTTATATTAACTAGTTATTGCAATAATTTTTTAGAGATAACCGAGAAAGATTTTTGCCGTCCCATCTATATAAAAGCTGGTCATCATGGTTAAATCTTGATAGGAAAAGTACACCTCATTCTCGGCTTGCAGACCATTTAAAACATATACAGATAACTGGATCTGATCGCAGACTTTATCATAAATATTTAGAGTGCTGTTACATGCTACCATTTTATGGGTAAGAGTTACACATGTTTTATCTTTGTAAAATAATTTAAATTWAACACAAAGAATTAAAATAAAACAAATCATAATATTATATTAAGTCACTTCACACAAAAGGATGCCACATACGCATAACGTGTTATATCCATCTTTCAAGTTGTGAGTATGTAAAAATGCCATGAAACAACACAGATAATGTTTCAATTTACTCAAATATGAATTAATTACTTAAAGCTATTACTGCTTAACATAAATTTACTATGTTGTTTCCGCCTTACTTTTACATGTAAATAACATAACCAATTTTTTATTCAGAACATTCATTTTATTACTCTTATTCAATATATCAGAATGGACAGGATGAGTTATAAAATTATAAAATTTAAAAGTATGAAAATTATTTAAGGACTCATATAGGCTTTTTATATCATTTTAATTTTGAAGCAATGGTTACAAGTACTTTAAAATGTATAGTTTTAAAATTATCGAACTGAAGTCCAGATTTATATTCTATTAAGACTCATAAAATATAATGCTAATATTTTCTAAAAAAAACCTAAAAATGTACAAATATTCTCTTTAATCAGAAAAATGTACAATAATAATCAATAAACCACATTTGACCACATTATGTGTTTAAAATCGTAATTTTTTATATTTATGTATTTTTACTATTGTTAGGTATACACTTGCCTAATGAAATAATTGCACCATAATAACAGTAAAATAGTGTTTTTCTGTATTGAATGGTTCTATCCACTGTTTTGAAAGGTGGTTAAAATGAATGGATTTTTTTATTTTAACATTTAAAAAAAGTATCAGTATAGATTAGCAGTGGTTGACTTGGGGGGGAGGGGGGACTGAGAACCTCARCTAATTTTTAGATACGCTAGCGTACCCCTACTTCTTTTTTAAAGGGGAACGCATGGGACGGATTGTAATGTGAACTTTTAACCCCCCACCTCCATGATTATGTAAGTTTTATTAAAATGCTAGGGACGCTACATTTTAAAAGTAGCTAGAGTACCTCTACTACTTTATTTCCAAGTCAACCAATGTACATTAGGYAAACTAATACATAATGGCATAGCCAAATAATAATACTTACTATTTTTTTTTAAATTTATTATATAAAAAAAAATATGGTTGGTAAAATACTTTTCAGATACCTACCATAATATTTAAAATTAAAATTAATTAGTATTTTTCTCAAATTTCACAAAATATTTTAAAATATACTAAATAATCTAAATATTCCCAAATATGCAAAAATAAACCTTTTCTGTGTTAAATGAATTGTCCACATTGTTTTATTTTTTTGTAAGTAGGATGCCTATCTTTGAAAGATAGCAGACTCAAAGACAGGCCAATTACTGAAATAAAAAAAAGGTCATCAGTAGGGCTGGGATTTTAATGCCCTCAAAAACCACRAAAAATGTCCTAAAAAAAATGCTTTTATGACCTAAAAACTCAAAATAATGCCCTAAAAACCCCGAAAAATGCCCTAAAAAAGGGCAATAAATCTACAAATTATTTAATTTTTAATAATTTTAGTATAAATTACAATAAAAAGTTACTCAAACCTTTTCCGATAATATAATACGAATTAGGAGTACCTACTTATAATCTGTTATATTTATTTAAAAACCATGTTGGTGTAAAAATCTTAAAATCTTAAAATAAAATTTCAAATTCATACACTTGGTTTCCAAAAACTCAAAAAATACTCCAAAAACTCTAAAATGCCCTAAAAAATTAAGAAAATGACCTAAAAACTAAAAAATGCAAAAAAATGCAAAATAAACTTTCTTATTCTCATTCAAATGTACATAAAATAAATTTGTGACAAGACGAGCATTGCACAGTAAGCTTTGAAAAACAATGCAAAGTGCATCGAAATCYCACCCCTAGTCATCAGATAAAATTACGTCTATATATTATATAGTATATCGAGTTAATCCCTAAACATCCTTCTCAGTTGCTGAAAAACCCGTGCATGCATCTTGTATTTGTCCCCAGAAAACTGCAGATGCAACTTTGATGTGTCGTTACAAAACTTCTAATCCAACCCAGACAAAATATCATTTAGGGACGCAATTGGAATGCGCTGATTATAACATACTGCATGCTCCGAACTTGGCGGATGGTGACTGATAGACTAACTGCTATTACAATTTCAAGAAATTAAAATGATAACAAATAGTYTATGTTGTTGTTGTGCGTGTGCAAACCATAAATACATAACAATAATAATACAATTAATAATAATTAAATTCACTACATCAAATTAATTTTTTTATTATTTTATTCATCATAAGCCCGGCAACTATGGTCATTTGCTGCAGAGGCGCAATCTAGATTAGCAGAGGGCAATTTCCTCCCCTAATAAACATTGAACAATTGGTATAAAAATATTCTATTCTTTTTTAGGTTAAATGAAAACAAAACAAATATAAATTTGATAGAAAAATGATGTATCAATTTAATTTATTATTACCCCTTTTTTGGGAATGCATTCTAGATTAGGTAATGGTTAATTTAATTTAATTTTAATTCTTAAAAAAAAATTTGGTGGACACTGTTATACCACAAAGTAAATTATATTTTCTATTTTTATTTGATAAATTGTATCATTAATTATTATAATTTATATTTATCATTCCAATTTATATGTTTTCATTTTTAGAGCAAGGTTGTTATTAGTAGGTATATACAGCCTTTTTAACGGGCTATGAAGTGTACATGTTGAGTTAGTGTATAGCTTACTTTACGAAGTAAAAATGATAGTTTTTGTAGAATTTATGCTCTATTCAACTTAATGAACATAGTCGAGGTGACTGGTTTTATTTGATCTGCAGTTAGACAACAACCTTTWGTGACTCCCACCCAGTCAATTATCAATATATCTGTTGTGTTCTTGTGTAGAATTGTACGYCCCTATGCACAAATCGTGACTATGTTTCTTAAGTCGAACAGAGTATTCATAATATTTTGGCATATGATATAATAGTACTTGGCTAGGCAAGTATTGGATTTTGCATTTTTTTAATGTTATACTATAGGATATAGCTTTCCAAGCACAAAAATGTGATTTGGTTATTTACGAGTTCATATGAATAGTTTTTTACTTTGCATTTTTTGTATTTTTTTGAATTTGAGGTAATTTTTMGAAGCATTTTTTCATACTTAAATAATACCTCAATTCAATAATGTATTTTTATAAAAATAGTCTGTTTAATAAGTATTCGTTATCAATAGCAAAACTAATTATACATAAAGGTAATACAATCCTACTTGTAAGATTACATAAACTCAATAACTATATGTCAAAACATATAATCCAGACTTTAATCATAACTAAATTTAAAATTAAAATATTATAAAAATCCTATGTGGGACTCTATGGATTATGTTCTTACATTTAAGTTTGGAAACAGGTCAGTTTACATTAAGATTAAAAATAAAACTTGCTTATAGTGGCGAATTCAGTGGAGGGACACATTTCCCTTTGTCATTTTTCTATTGAAAATGTTTAAAGTAACTTCGAATATTATAAATAAAAAATGCAGTTAATAAGAATAATACTATTGAATATTAATTATTATAATCACATTCAAACTGATAAAATAGGATTTACAGCTTTAGTGTCTTATCTATACCTATTTAAAATTATAAGTTATAACCAATAGCTATTAATTAAAATTATTTAATTATACAATTTTTATGTGCCCTCTTCATATCAAATATGCCCTTGTTTGTTTATACTGAAAGTAAAATGTGTTATATTAATCGAAGAGTGAGGTATAAAATATGGACTACATACTCTTAACTAGTGTCTGTCTGGTCTTCTCAACTACTCATTGAATATTGATCCTTAACAGTCCATGGCTTTGATCTTGTTTTTTTTATATCAGAGCTCAAAAAATATGTTAACCAGTTTATTGCTATTAAAAATCCTTATGTCAAGGTTCCAATCATGTGCTGTACTGATACTGAATACTACAATACAGCTAAATTGTCCTCTGAGTTGATTCTGTGTAAATTTGTATTGCTTATCAAAAATCTTTTAATAATGCAATGTTTTATAAGACTTTTAGTAATTAATTAAAATGTGTTAAGGTGCGCTTTTTTCCATGGTCAAATTGAACAACCTGTCCGAGGYTTAATGTCTTTAATTAACCATAAGGATGTCCCTATTTACATTGCAGTCAACACCGAAGGAGTTTATATTTTGGACTATGTGGAAAATGTAATTTTTTTCATATTTCTGTAATAGTTTATAGACTATCTAATTACATAATTAATCATTTCAGAGTTTATTATTGGGCCTAAAATATCAAGATTTTTCATGGGAATTTGCTAAGCCATCTCAAGTAGATAATGATCATTGTTTACCATGTATATTTCTACAGTTCTTAGTATTAGAAAACGGAACAAGAGTTTCAAAAATTTTACAAGTGTTTTCTAAACAAGTAAATTTATTATTTATTAAAATTATAATAATTATAATAATATTAATATTATAATTCAGTCTCTTTATATATAAACCATAAAATTGATTTTTAAAATAATTTRTTTTTAGGCTGTCATGATAGATGCATTAATTGCATGTTTTGTTGAAGATTTTAGACATAAATTAGCTATGAATGAATATGACGATGTAGATAGAACTGGCGGCTTTGAACACATATCTGTCGGAGATGGTAATTAACTTAATTATTTGAATATCAAATATTTTAACTTTATATTTTATATATAGGATCTCAAATACCTTTGGCACATTTATTCCGCAGTGAACCACAATCCCGATTGTGTAATAAACTAAATAAGTTGACACTGGCTACATTTGATGAAGACGGTATGTTGGTTTATAGTAGTTATTTATAACATACCTGTCATGTTTTCTAGTTTCTTAGCATGTATTCATCATTTAGAAAGTTGTTTATACTATTCATAATTTATTCTGATCGCACATAATTAATTATGCATGGTTTGTAGACTATTTATGAATTTAATCTGCGGCAATAGACTAAAGTAAGTTTTTAAATGAGTTGAAATTAAGCTTTATTATTAGTATTATTCTATTTAACATGTCTGGGTTAAACCAAATAATTAAATACTTTATTAGTAATAATCAACTATAATGTAATAAAATGCAGTGTTCATATTATATTTTTGAGTGAGTCGAATCTGATTTTAAATGTTTTCGCTAACAAATTAAAATCATTTTTAGCACTTTATCCTTGTAATTTTGTACAATGGAGAAAAATGAGTATCAACTAACACATACTATATGTATATTTTATACAAAATAAAAACAAAATATTTATTATATCTTGTACACTTCAAAAAAAAAAAAAAAATCATGCAACTGGACTGATTCAAATTATATGAATTTACAAAATAGATATTATTTTTAATTTATAAAACTTATAGAATGTGATAATATATCGTGGTGCTTATTAGTTATCTCAAATATTTACAGTTTTTCAGTAAACTAAATTATGTTATAATGTCTACTATAACTTACAAGTTACATTATTTTAAGGCATTTTTTTAAACTACAATATAAAATAATGGACATGAGGCTTCCCAACAAAACATAAAAAAAACCATTGAACCTCTACAAAACCGTGTTAAGTATACAAAATTAATACATAACTTCCATTGAAAAAAACTTCTGTAACATGCATTTTTATGAATAAAATTGGGATTTTTCATTAACAGAAAAATTGCTGTAACTTTTCTTTAGCGTATTGACTWTAATTATTTGCAAAATAAATGAGTATATTGGTTCACAAATCCAAATTTATATTTAGGAAACAGATATTTTGTAAATGTAATCTAAAATCATATTCTGTGTCGAACCGCTGTCGTGTGCACACGTWTATTTCGTAATCTAGTTGTATCGTCGCTTATCTCTGTTCTAATATTAATAATGGTTTCGTGTGTTGTTTGTGCAATTACTTTAAAACGAGATGAAACCGGGTCGATTACCTGTTTATCGTGTAATGATATTTTTCACATGCAGTGCGTTAAAATTAATCAAGATGATCTTGACTATTTAATTTCTATAAAAAAAAAATGGTCTTGTCCAAACTGTACAAAAAACCCAGAAAAAGACTCTAAATCGGACACCCAATCTGACAATATTTCCTCACCGGATGTTAAATTGATCTTAAAACAATCTCTTTAAATCTCTTAAAATTTGAACAATCTAAACTGATAAACCTCGTTAACRAACTGCGAAATTAGACGCATTTGAACAAAAATTCACTGATGTTTTTTCCCAATTAGCCGCAATCAAAGATGACAATAATCTTCTCCATAATAATTTAAGTAGKTTAACAGCTCGACTTGAGGTCATTCGTTCAATTTTACCTCTACACAGTTTAATATAACTTCTGGTGTTCCTCAAGGTGACCACTTGTCAACTCTTCTTTTTAATATATTTTTAAATGATCTTCCTAATGTCATCACTAATTCTAATATTCTTCTATTTACTGATGATGCAAAATTAGTAAAAATTATTAAATCAGAACAAGACGCTTTTAATTTGCAACTAGACATTAATAACCTTATTTTGTGGTGTAACGAGAATAATCTATTTTTAAATATACAAATATGTAAATTTATGAAATTTTACCTAATTAAAAATCCCGTTAACTCTCAATACTCAATTTCTATCACAAATGTCGAGCTTGTTAATCAATTTAAAGATTTAGGTATAATTTTTTATCATAAATTAAATTTTTCTCTGTATACTGAAAATATTAAAAATAAAGCTTTTCGTAACTTGGGGTTTATTAAAGTACTTGTGCTGCATTCTCAGATCCTATTCCCTTAAAAATCCCCTACATCTCTTTTGTCCGTTCTAATCTAGAGTACTGTCCCCTCATCTGGATAAATAGTACGTTGAAACAAGGTCTTATGCTGGAATCTGTCCAAAATAATTTTTTACGTTTTATCTCATTTAAATTTAACATAAACAGACCTACCCATGGCACATATAATAATGTTTTAAATTTTCTTAATATTTCTCTACTCTCTGACCGTCGTATACTTTTACTCTCAAAATTTTTACAAAAGTTAATATTAGGTTCAATAGATTGTCCTGAAATTCTCTCTTTAATCCGTTTTAAAATTAATTACCTTAATACTAGAGATCCAAAACCTTTTTATCCACTTCTTTCAACAAAAAATTATACCTTGAACTCTCCTGCTAACCTTCTTATGACTGCAGGTGTATATTTGATTTGTATTCTATATCTACTTTAGCATTATTATTTTACTCATTCTTTAATTTTAAGTATATATTTAACTATAAATTATGTTTTACGTATAAATATGTTTTTCACATACAAAATATTATTAGGACTGACGTCCGTTTATATTAAATAAATAAATAAATAAATAAAGGTAACTAGGTATCTATTGCTGCAGCGAATTGGTTTGTCGGCATATTATGGTTTATGCATAAGTTTTAAAAAGCAAACATATTTGTATCATTTTGTCTTGCAGATTAAAAAATTGTCTTCAAATAATATTATTTTATGCATGGACAGAATTACAGCCTGGACCTTAGCCCAGCTAATTATGCACTGTATTAATGTATACACTACCTATAAAATATATTAAGTAGATATGTATTAACAAAATATATTTGAAAATAATTAAAACAATTATCATTATTATCAGAGGTATCTGAAATTCTGAACATTGTATTAATTTTTAGAAACTTAAATGTGGAACGCACACATAATATAGTATTTTATTTATGTTTCATTATTGCCTTTATGGTCTCAAATATAATGTATTATATTATGTTCTAATTACTAGATATCTAATTCAATATTTATACACAATAATTGTATGTTTGAGACGTGACTTTTTTGAACACAAACGCTTACATTTCAAGTAAATAATATTGATCAACAAGCTACAAAAGTACTCATCATGAAAAGGTTAATAGGAAAAATAAATAGTATATTATACAAATGTAAATAATGTGCATACAATTTTATGTTATATTATTAGCTAATACAATTATATCCATAACTATTTCATAATATGTAGCTTTGTCATATCAGTGCATGATTCTAGTTAGGTATTTTAAACATTTAAATAAAACTTAACACTTAAGTACTATATTTAGGTTCCACTATCATCTATGATTCTATCATCTTCAGCATTATTATAAAATATTATTTATTTATAATATATTTTATASAATTTATTGTATTTTATTAAAAAAAACATAATTATTGTCAACATGAAATGAACATTAAATATGATATAAAATTATATAATATCATAATCAACTTTAATTTTTAAGTAAGAAAAAAATTATATTTATTATATAAAGATATAAGAGTACATTTACACAAAAAGTTTTTTTTTAATGGTAGCAATGGATTTTTCAGCCCTTCCTAGTGGTAGGCCAATGATTGACATAATCAGGAGAAGTAGCCCAATCTAATAAAAATGTTTTAGTTCTATCTATGACATAGGACCTATGTTAACCTGTGATTTCAATAACATAATTGTGTTTACTGTAAAATGTAAATGTAGAAGCAATGACCAATAACTACCACTTAACATTATTATATATTATATATACTTATATTTTTTTTTAAATTTTTTTTTTCAAGAAGAAAATTTTCTTTACTGTGATAATATAATTATCTTTACTTTTAAATAATATTTTCAACCTCAATATAATGCTTTCAGGTCAGTACAGTTATTAACCACAACAATTTTAAGATTATAAGATTGTTCCATAACAGAGCAGTCACTGTGACTTGTCTTAGCTTTGAAACCATAGCTTTAGTTTTTTTATCTTATTTTGATAATATAGTTTTTTTTTAACATACCTAACAAAATAATTATTTTGTTTTTGTACCTAAACTAACAAATTTAACTTTTAAAATTATAATTAATTATTACTAAATTTATCAATACATATTAATATATATTAACATATTATTGTTTGTTTATAATATTATTTTCAATTAAAATACATGAAATATAATAACATATGCATTTTTTTTTTATAGGCCATTGTATTGGACAAATGGGATCTTGGTCATTCAGCTACTAACAGTGGATACTTAATATAATATACTTTAATTTTTTTCTATTGATCTCTATACTGCCATCCTTTTGTTTAATTCACATTTCTTCTACTTCTTACTATTGGATACCTAGTATCAAGATATAATATATATGTTACGGGTAATGTTAGCATTTGGATAAAGTCGACATTAGCCATTCGTTTTGGCTAATGTGTAATTTTTCGTTTATAAACATGAAATATCCACATTTTCCARATGATGTTAATTTTAACCAGTCAATATTGGATAATGTTAAAAGTTATATATTAAATAGAGTTGTTAGCATTCTATACAATAATAAAGCGTTGGATTACCAGAGTATAATATCTTAATTAACCTATAACCTRGTTAGTCAGTTATCTTACCGATAAAGTGATCAGTATAATATAATATATGGCATTAATATTTAATTTAATTAAATGGCATTTTCATTATAATTTTACTTATTATACAAAACGCTATATAGGTACAATGAAAAATAAACTCATATTAATAATTTATGTATTAATGGTAATTACTAATTGTGTTTTAAATACATTCAATATTGTTAATAATTTAAAATGATTTTACACATTTTTATGGTTGTTAAGATATTATCCAAAAGTTCTTGGATGATATAATATTATCCCGTTAATGTTAACATTAACCGACATTTAATAATATCCGTGACGGGTAATGTTAACATCAGTTGGCTAATGTTGTATTATCCAGCTAATGTCGACTTTATCCAAATGTTAATATTACCCGCAACATATATTAATACATGTGATTACCTTTTCCTAGTCAATTTAG